TGTGGGGCTGCCGGCGGGGGTGACGCCCCCCCGACACTGATTAAGAAACTCGGAATACGTGACGCGCGATAATGATGGCAAGCGCACCTCTTCCTGCCGGGGCGCGGCCACGCCCGATCAAGTGTTCTTTACAAGTACAGCTTGAGCCAGACGACCGCAACGGCGGACGGAAGGATGCTTGAACCGGAGGCGTTGGGAGCGATGGTAACGACTGAAGACCTCCCCGAGCCCTCCCCTTCTTCCCCATCCATCCTCCCTCGTATGTACGCATCGTTCGGAAGGAGTGGATGGAGGCATGAAGCAGTAAGAGGCGTCGGAAATACAGTGAATCTCCGACCGCACCCCGAAGAGGAGCGGAGAGGGAACATCACTCGAGCCTTCCAATGAGAAGGGACCTATGGGATAGGGATAGGGGGTGAACCACAAATCTCCTTTCAACGACTGGTGGGCATGCCGTCTCCAAATGTTTCAACTCCTCCTCCGTGGCCTCCTCTCCTGATCCATCTTCGTCGCCCTGTCCTCTTTATTTCCGCACCGCTTGCATCCGCCCAACCCGTCTCCTCCTCATCCTCCTCCTCATCCGTCGAAACAGGCCCCTGGAACTGTCCCAGGGGCGTGTTCTGATAAGGATTTCGGGGCAGGTGCAGCGGCAGCGATGGCGCCCCCCTCCCCCCGAAATCCTCCCAAAGCCAAAATGATCGCCAAACAAATCAGTAACACTCCTCAAGGAGAGGATGAAGGAGGAGGTGGAGCCAAGGAAGGAAGGCGGAGGAAGGCGGAGGATGAGGAGGCGGGAGAGGCCACTTTCGGGCCGCAGCTAGAAACAGGGGAACATGACGGAGGAGGCTCCTCCACCTCCTCCTCTGCCTCCTCCTCCTCCTCCTCCTCCTCCTCCTCCTCCTCCTCCTCCTCCTCCTCCTCCTCCCCCCTTCTCCTCCTCATCATCATCAGCCTCGTCTCACACTTCCCCTCCTCATCCTCCTCCACTTCGGGCGACGGAGAGTGACCACAGCTACTGTTGTAAGCACTGTGACCACAGCTACTGTGTTCGGGGCAGCTGGCGCGGTTGAGCAGAGGGAGAGATGTGAGCACGCGCAAACGCTGCAGACGAAACTTGAGCATCGTGGGTTGAGGGTTTCACGCGTGGTGATCCTGGCGCCGAGAGCCCAACCCCCTTGCCCCCTTGCCCCGCGCCGCCCACCGCAAGGGGAACGGCCCCGTTCGAACCTTTGGAGTCCCGAAACGGTGCGCTGACAGACCGTGCGGTGACCTCGAAACCCCCCAAGACCTCACCGCACGGTACGTCAGCGCACGGTGTTGGGACCTCGGAGGCTCCAGTCGCCCGAGACGTCCCCAAAGGACGACCCGAGTCCCAAAACCGTATAGTGACCCCGAATCCCCACCGACTCACCGCACGATTTGTTACCACCCCGTTTGGGGGCCCCCGAGAACCTCAGACGCCGACAGAACGAATCCGCCAATCACCGCACGATTTGTTACCACCCCGTTTGGGGGCCCCCGAGAATCTCAGACGCCGACAGAACGAACCCGCCCATCGGTGGTCACCAGAAGACACGAATGTACTGGAAAACTCGAAATTCGTCGGCACGGTCGCGAAAATCTGCCGATCTGGCGTGCCGAGTTTCTGAGAGCGTGGGCTTGAGCTCGCTCAAGCTTCGCTCTGTCGGGGGAGTGGGGGCTGACGCCATGGCTGACGCTATTCAGGCCCGGAAAGGGGGAGGGGGGCGGGGAGCTCGCTCAAGCTTCGCTCTGTCGGGGGGGGGGGGCTGACGCCATAGCTGACGCCATTCAGGCCCGGAAGGGAGAGGGGGGTGGAGGAGGGGGGGGGGACGCCATGGCTGACGCCGTTCAGGCCTGGGGGGGGGGGGCTGACGCCGTTCAGGCCTGGGAGGGGGAGGGGGGGGGGAGCTCACGGGGGGGAGCTCGCTCAAGCTTGGCTCTGTCGGGGGAGGGGGGGGCTGACGCCATAGCCGACGCCATTCAGGCCCGCGAGGGAGGGGTGGGGGGGACGCCATGGCTGACGCCATTCAGGCTCCGGAGGAGGGAGTCGGGGATGGGGGGGCTGACGCCATGGCTGACGCTCGGGAGGGGAAGGGGGGATGAGCTCGCTCAAGCTTTGCTGTGTCGGGGAGGGGGAGGGGCTGACGCCATAGCTGACGCCATTCAGGTCCAAGAGAGGGTCGGGGGGGGGACGCCATGGCTGACGCCATTCAGACCCGCTAGCGGGGAGGAGGTGGGGAGCTCGCCCAAGCTTCGCTGTCGGGGTGGGGGGGGCTGACGCCATAGCTGACGCCATTCAGGTCCAGGAGGGCGGAAGGGGAGGGGGTGTGGGGAGGGGGGGACGCCATGGCTGACGCCAGTCAGGCCCAGGACGAGGGAGGGGGGGGGAAGCTCGCTCAAGCTTCACTCTGTCGGGAGGGGGGGCTGACGCCATGGCTGACGCCATGCAGGCTCGGGAGAGGAAAGAGGGGGGTGAGGACCGACGCCATGGCTGACGCCATGCACGCCCGAAGAAGGCTCCAAGACGGCCCAAGAAGGGCCCAAGACAGCCCAAGAAGCCCCAAGGAGGCCCCCAAAAGGCCTCCAAAAAGCCCCCCGAGAAGCCCAGGAGCGCCCCCCAAAGGTGTCATACGTTAGCCACGTCAACATCCCATGAGTCTGGCTGTTCACGCGAGATCGTCGCTCTCGAATATCCGAAGGTTGCCCAAGCGAGTTCAACATCTCTTTCTCACGAGGAAGCCTCGAGCGAGTGCTCTACTTTTGAACATAAGCGCTTCTCCGTTGCAAGCAGAATCGGTAGCACCCCGGATCGGCGGCACTGGCCGGAGGCCACCACAATACGTGACGACTGATTGGGGGGACGTGGCCGGAGAAGGTTCCGTGGAGACGAGGACGAGGAGGAGGAGGAGGAGGAGGAGGAGGAGGAGGAAAAGGATGAGGATAAGGAGGAGGAGGAGGAGGAGGAGGAGGAGGAGGAGGAGGAGGAGGAGGAGGAGGAGGAGAAGGAGGAGGAGGAGGAGGAGGAGGAGGGGGGGGGCCCAGGCCGTGGGTGGCTGGGCCTCCCGAGGAGAGAAGGGGTCCATGGACATGCACTCCTCTGCCGGCGATGCCCGGCGGCGCCCCCCTCCTCCTGTCAGGGAGCCCACAGCAAACGTACGCGCCAAAACTATGTACATGAACACGGCCCCTCGATCCGCGAGACTGGCCGCGTAATACGGACAGTTGCGCAACGCGTACTCGCGAAACCAGCGTGGACTCATGTACGTGCTCGTCCTTCTTTCGCTCCTGCCCTGTTGACTCCTCCGCTGGCGACGGCACGAGCGTCGTGCCGGCGCTGCCTCCCTCCTCCTCGGCAGCACTCAGGTTATGTCGGGCGTGTCCCCCTACAGGGGGATTTTCGACGAAACATAAAAATACCAGAAAAAATGCCCCAAAAAGGTCAACACAAATACTCAAAAAAAAGTCCCCTGACGATTCTTGGACTATTCCTGGACTATTCTGGGGGTATGTCTTATCTTTCGTCGAAAACCCCCCTGTAGGGGGACAGACAGGCCCGACTTACCCCCCGATCGAAAGGACTATCAAGCCTGCTCTCATGCTGATGTGTTTTGTGTGCCAAGCGCAGGTAGCTTTCGCCCTCCAGGGGCTCTTCAGCCGAAATGGCACTGCACAGAAGCATCGGATGAAAGGTCGCTCAGGGCTGCGGGCCGCTCTGCTCGAGAGGGGCTGGAGCCCTCGGCCCGCGCGCCTGGCTGGCGCTGAGTCGGGCCTGTCCCTCCACAGGAGGGATCTTCAGAAATAGCCAAAAAGTAGTCTGGGGACTATTTTTTGACTATACTTGAACATTTGGGAATATTTTCTGACTATTTCTAATCTTTCGTCGAAAATCCCCCTGTAGGGGGACAGGCCCGACTTAAGGCTGGCGCCAGGGGCCAGGAGGGATCTTCAGAAATAGCAAAAAAAATAGTCTGGGGACTATTTCTTACTATTTTTGAGCATGTTGGAGTATTCGTTTGAACATTTCAAATCTTTCGCCGAAAACCCCCCTGTAGGGGGACAGGCCCGACTTCAGGCTGGCGCCAGGGGCCAGGAGGGATATTCAGAAATAGCCAAAAAATAGCCAGGGGACTATGTTTTTACTATTTTTGAACATTTTGGATTATTTGTTTGACTATTTCTAATTTTAGGCGACGAAAATCCCCCTGTAGGGGGACAGGCCCGACTTGAGGCTGGCGCCAGGGGCCAGGAGGGATATTCAGAAATAGCCAAAAAATAGCCAGGGGACTATGTTTTTACTATTTTTGAACATTTTGGATTATTTGTTTGACCATTTCTAGTTTTAGGCGACGAAAATCCCCCTGTAGGGGGACAGGCCCGACTTGAGGCTGGCGCCAGGGGCCAGGAGGGATATTCAGAAATAGCCAAAAAATAGCCAGGGGACTATGTTTTTACTATTTTTGAACATTTTGGATTATTTGTTTGACCATTTCTAGTTTTAGGCGACGAAAACCCCCCTGTAGGGGGACAGGCCCGACTTGAGGCTGGCGCCAGGGGCCTGCACGGCCGAGGCGGGTACGGACCAACCCGGGAACGGCGCCCAGCAGCACGCGTCGCCCCGAGCCCACAGCGGCCGCTGTTGGGCAGCCGGCCTTCCGGCCCAAAGGCACCACGGGGCCGCGGCGGCGCGGACAGCGAGCCCCGTTCAAGATGGGCAGGCACTCCTGTTGGGCGGAGCACCCCTTCTTCCCGCGCCCACGACGAGGGGGAGCAATTGAGAGAACAAAGCCCAAGCCCTCCTCTTCCTCCTCCCCCGACGGGAAGGGGGGGCAGCGGCAGCGTCCTCCTCCACCCCGAAAAAAAAAACTCTTCCTCCTCCTCCTCCTCCTCCTCCTCCTCCTCCTCCTCCTCCTCCTCCTCCTCCACCCCGGGGGGCGGCGCGCGCCCTGCCCCCGGCGGCGGCGCGAGGCGGCGGCGCAGTCCGCGTCGACCGGCGGCCACTCCGAGCACAGGCAGGCCGCGTGGCGCGCGGCCCGGCCCCGGTCCCGGCTGTCGACCGAGCGCGCCCTCGACGGGAAGCTCTTCTCGACCTCGTCGGGGCGGCCGGCGGCCGACGGCCGAGGGCCGACGACCACGGCGAGCACAACCGAGGAGACGACGACGCTGACGACGACGACGACGGCGACGACGGCGACGACGACGGCGACGACGACGACGACGACGACGACGACGACGACGACGACGGGAGGGCGTTGGCGACAACGGCTGCGGCGGCGAGGGAAGGGCAGGGGAGAGGACGCCCTCGTCTGGCCCTGAAGTGTTGGCTGGGCGTCCCTGGGCCCCGAAGCGGTCGCCCCCGGGACGAAGGAAACGGCGAACAAACAAGCTTTGGCGTGCGATTCGGCTCGGGTCGCCAGGTCTGGGGATGGATACCTCGAGGGTGGAGTAGTCCATCGTGAGGTCCCTCTCCTCGAAGGGCGCGATGCCATCGTCGTGCATGACGCATGGGCTGCACGCCAGTCCATCGCAGGAAACGGTCCGAATGTCCATCGCAGGAGGCGGAAGGAGCGGGGAGGAGGAGAGAAGGGAGGAGCAAGGGAAGGGAACAAGACTGAGAACGGTGGAGACGCAGGGAGGCGGAGGCACAAATCGAGGACGACCGAGGAGAAAAAGTATGGAGCACAGAAGCCGGCCGGCTGGACGTGGCTGATACCCGGCCACCGCCCCGCGGTAAGCAGGCGGCGTCTGGACGGGGAGCCCCCCGCTCCTCGCCTCCGCGCGCGAGGAGCCGCGCGGCGACGCGCGGCACGAGCGAGGGGCGCCTCGCGCTCCTCCACCCCGCCCGCGGCGGGCGGGGGGGCGGACCCGAGCCGGACAGCAGGACTGGGACCCCCCAGCAGCGCAGCCGATGCCTCGCGAGGTCACCGCCGCGGGCGGGCGGCCGGCGGCAGGGCGCCTGCCTCTGCTCCCTCGGGCGAGCGAGGCGCTTTTGGCTGCTCTCCTCCTCGGTGCGACCCTCGTAGACATTGGGCTCCAGCTCCGTGCGCCACACTCCGGAAGCCAAGGCACGGGAGCTGTGCGCCCACGCCGCGATGGCGTTGGGCTTCCCCTGCGCATCGGGCCTGTCTCGAACGACGACGGGCCCCAGCTTGGCGCACAGGTGCTCGCTGCGGGGCGCAGACGACTGCTTCCACTGCTCGCGGTCCCCGCCTACCTCGCGGCCGGCGTCGTAAAAGGTGGCGTCGAGCTCCGCCGCAACATCCCGTACCCATCCGCTGACTGCAAGACTGGACTCGTGCTCCTCGCCGGCGATGACCACGTGCTCCACCTGCACAGGCGTCTTTGGGGCGACAGCATCCTTCAAGCGGTCCGCCAATCCAATCCGCCCGGACATGGCTGTAATGTCATCACGCTGCCAAAAAGAACGCCAATCCCGCCGACCATGTCGGCGTGTGTGAGAAGTTGTTCCACTTGGGTCGTCGCCCCGTCGTCGTAGCCATCGCCGCTCCCCCATTTTGACTGGGCGCTCCTCCGCACAGGATGGAGCCAAACGGAAATCAAACAACGTCGTCATTGATTCGAAGGGAGGCCCATTCTCTTTGATCCCTTCCCTGCTGGGGGGTAAGGGTCCCCCCGGGGGTAGCGGGGGGTGTCTGGGGGCAGGGTCCGGGGTTACCCGAGGGGGGTCCGGGAGGGTGACCCCCGCCCGAGGGGGGACATTGCCGCATGCCTCCCCGAGGCCTCAGATCCGCTCCGAGGCGGCTCCAAGTGACCACGGAGCCTCCCAAGAGATCCCCCAAGAGAGCCTCAAACAGAGACCACGAGGCTCCCAAGAGAGCCCCAAGAAGGGCTCTACAGCGTCAGTGTCGTCGCCGTCGTCGCCGCCTCCGCCGTCCCCCTTCAGGTTCGTCGGCACCAGTCGCATGGCCTTCCCAATGAGGAACGGAGGGTTTTGTCTGGCCACGGAGAGCCATGCCCACGAGTTGGCTCCATGTCCTAGATCCCCTTCTGAGCCCAAAGCGGTCCTTATTCGTGCGTCTTGAATACAAATCGACAAGCGCACAGTGGGCGCACCACCAACACTGCCAACTCTGGCGGCATGCCGTGCCGCCGCCACCGCCACGTGTCGACGGCGCTATGGTCCGCTATGGTGGCGGCGCCTGCGCCCATCGCGCGGTCCGACCCAGCACCCGCGCCTGCACCGCTGGTGCGTAACTCGAGCGTGGCTGCGATGCCTTCAGCCATGAATGCTTGAGCCACAATGGCTACGGAGGGGTCGGAAGAGAACGGGGGATGAAAAGAAAAGAAGGCAGCAAAGCACGGACGACGGACGAGGACGGACGGACGGAGGGAGGACGGACGAGGATGGAGGGCTGAGGAGGAGGGGGAAGAGGAGAAGAAGGAGAGGACGCACGGATGATGGAGGGCGGATGGAGCAATACGGAGGACGAAGGACGGAAACGAGCTGAACAGGGCCCCTGG